CCTTACATATCTGGGTACCTTATGTATTGGGTGCGTATATATTTAGGATCATTAGCTCTTCTTGTTGCATTGATCCTTTTACCACTATGTAATGTCCTTCTTTGCCTCTTTTGATCTTTGTTGCTTTAAAGTCTACTATGTCAGAGGCAAGAATTGCATCTCCTCCTTTTTATTTAGTTATTTATTTATTTATTTGCTCTCCATTTGGTTGGTAAATCTTCCTCCATCCCTTTGTTTTGAGTCTTTATGTATCCTTGCATATGAATGGTTCTGGATTCAGCATAACGATGAGTTTTGGCTTTTCATCCAATTTGCCTGTCTGTGTCTTTTGATTGGGGCATTTAGTTGATTTAAATTTAGGATTAATAATAATATAGGTGAGTTTAATACTGCCATTTGATGCTAGCTGGCTGTTTTGCCCATTAGTTGATGTAGATTCCTCATTATGTTGATGTTCTTTACCTTTTGGTATATTTTTGGAATGGCTGATACTGGTTGTTCCTTTCCATGTATAGTGCGTCTTTCAGAAGCTCTTGTAAAGCAGGTCTGGTGGTGATGAAATCTCTGAGTACTTGCTTTTTCACAAAATATTTTATTTTTCCTTCACTTATGAAGCTTAGTTTGGCTGGATATGAAATTCTAGGTTGAAAGTTCTTTTCTTTAAGGATGTTGAATATGGGCCCCCACTCTCTTCTGGCTTGTAGGGTTTCTGCTGAGAGATCTGCTTTGAGTCTGATAGGCTTCCCTTTGTGGGTAACCTGACCTTTCTCTCTGGCTGCCCTTAGTATTTTCTCCTTCATTTCAACCCTGGTGAATTTGACCATTATGTGCCTTGGGGTTGCTCTTCTTGAGGAATGTCTTTGTGGTGTTCTCTGTATTACCTGGAGCTGAATATTGTCCTGCCTTGCTAGGTTGGGAAAATTTTCCTGAATAATATCCTGAAGAATATTTTCCAGCTTGGATTCATTCTCTCCGTCACATTCAGGTACACCTATCAAACATAGATTAGGTCTTATCACATAATCCCATATTTCTTGGAGACTTTGCTCATTCCTTTTTACCCTTTTTTCTCTGATCTTGTCTTCTCATTTTATTTCATTGAGTTGGTCTTCGACCTCTGATATCCTTTCTTCTGCTTGATCAATTCAACTGCTAAAACTTGTGCATACTTCGGGAAGTTCTCGTATTGTGTTTTTCAGCCCCATTAATTCACTTATATTCCTCTCTAAATTGTCTATTCTCGTTAGCATTTCGTCAAACCCTTTTTCAAGGTTCTTAGTTTCTTCACATTGGGTTAGAACATGTTCTTTTAGCTCACAGAAGTTTCTTATTATCCACCTTCTGAAGCCTGATTCTGACAATTCATCACACTCATTCTCCACCAGGCCTTGTTCCCTTGCTGTTGAGGAGCTGCAATCCCCTGAAGGAGGAGAGGCATTCTGATTTTGGATGTTTTCAGCCTTTTTGCACTGGTTTCTTTCCATCTTTGTGGATTTATCCACCTGTCCTCTTTGTATTTGCTAACTTTCAGGTTGGGTCTCTGAGTAGACATCCACCTTGTTGGTGGTGATGTTATTTCTGTTTCTTTGTTTTCCTTCAGCGGACGCCCCTCCCCCACAGAGCTGGCTCTTCCCAGGTTCAGCTGTGCTTACTGTGAAACTCTCAAGCATCAGTGTTTCCAATTGCTGTTTTTTTGTGGGACTGGGACCAGCCGAGCCTGATCACCTGGCTCCCTGCCTCGGAGCCCCCTTTTTTTCTTTTCCTAATTGAACGGTCGAGTCTCTCCCAGGTGCCCCAGTCGCCCGCCAAAAAGGCGCCGGGATCTATGCAATTTCCCTTTTGGCAACTATGCCGGCTGAAACAGCGGCACTGAGATTTGTGGCGCTTTTCTGCCCAGGAATCTCCCGGTCTGGCTCCCGGCTTCAGTCCCTTCAATCAGCTGAATGGGCGACTCTGCCTTTCCAGAGCTCCAAATGCCAACCAAAAGGGCACCCAGTCCAGCATACTCTGCACTGAGAACCGCTGCACGTGCGCTGGCGGACGCCGGCAAAACAGCCACGCAGGCCAAGAGTCGCGCTGGCGACCCTTGGGGCTCCTCCGCTGGGAATCTCCTGGTCCATGGGCAACAAAAATTCGTCTGGAAGTCTGGCGTCCTCTCACTCCCTGCGCCTTCACTGGGAGCTGCAATCCTGAGCTGCTGCTAGTCGGCCATCTTGGATGCGGTAAGATAGGTTAATCAACGTTCTCTTATCTAAATCATTTTTCCTCAAAATCAACTCACCCAATTTAATAATTTAAAATATTAAATCTACATATATAGTTTATCTCCTGGAAGAAATTATTATGAGTTATTTCATCCAGAACAGTGTGTGCACACTGCAGGAATTCATTATCAGCTGAGTTAATTCTCCTCATGAGAGGTACGTGAAATATATTCAGTATATAAATCAAGTAATTTTAAGTACCTCAGTTCCATATTAAACCAATACATTTTAAAATGCCCCTGTATGTTTTTAAATGTCCACCTTTTGACCTTGTTCTTGTGGTTCTACAAATGTATCAAACAATGTTTCTTTAAAATATAAATGTTACTAGGAAAAACAACCTAGAATGAAAATTTAAAAACCTCCAGGGAATAAGCCAAACTTGAACTTTGTCAATGCTCTAATTAGAAAAGAAACTGCCACAATGGATATTGTACCATAGGCACTGGAGCCAAACAGGCCTAAATTCAAATCCTGGCTCTGTCACTTGCTAGCTATATGACCTGGATCCATTTACCTCTGAACATTAGATTCCTCATTTGGAAAACTAGAATAATAACCACACTTTAGTGAATTGTTACAGTGTTTAAAAAAGATAGTATAATAGGTAGGCATTCAGCAAATGGTATATAGTTATATACAGTTTATATGTAATGGGTATGTATGTATATGTATTACATATGTGTGAGAAATACACACATATACATACATAAAACCAAACTGATAGCTGATCTGACTAGGAGAGCCATAGCACCATCCAAAGGGAAAGTTATGCTCTGAGATTATTTAAAAATTAAGAAGTCGGCCGGGCACAGTGGCTCACGCCTATAATACCAGCACTTTGGGAGGTCAAGGCGGGCAGATCATGAGGTCAAGAGATCAAGATCATGGTGAAACCCCATCTCTACTAAAAAATACAAAAATTAGCTGGGCATGGTGACATGTGCCTGTGGTCCCAGCTACTCCAGAGGCTGACGCAGGACAACTGCTTGAACCCGGGAGGCGGAGGTTGCAGTAAGCCAAGACTGCGCCACTGCACTTCAGCCTGGCGCCTGGCGACAAAAGAAGACTCTGTCTCAACAAAACAAAACAAAACAAAACAAAACAAAACAAAACAAAACAAAACAAAACAAAACAAAAAAATTAAGAAGTCAGGGCCAGGCACGGTAGCTCACACCTGTTAATCCCATTACTTTGGGAGGACGAGGCAAGTATCACTTGAGGCCTGGAGTTTGAGACCAGCTGGCCAACATGGTGAAACCCCATCTCTACTAAAAATATAAAAATTAGCCAGGCGTGGTGGCACACGCCTGTAATCCCAGCTACTTGGGAGACTGAGGCAGGAGAATTGCTTGAACCCAGGAGGCGGAGGCTGCAGTGAGCTTAGATCGCGCCACAGCACTCTAACCAGGGCAACAGAGTGAGACTCTGTCTCAAAACTTAAAAAAATTATAATAATAATTTTAAAAATTAAGAAGTCAGTTCCAAACAATAAGGTTTCTTACTCTTGCCAGAGAGACTACAATTATAAAATTTTAGTATGTTTCTATTACCATTTAAATAATGCTAGCCAGACATGGTAGCTCATGCCTGTAATCCCAGCGCTTTGGGAGGCTGAGGCAGACAAATCACTTGAGGTCAGGAGTTCAAGACCAACCTGGCCAACATGGCAAAACCTTATCTCTACTAAAAATACAAAAAATTAGGTGGACGTGGTGGTGGCCACCAGTAATCTCAGCTACTCAGGAGGCTGAGACAGGACAATCACCTGAATCTGGGAGGTAGAGGTTGCAGTGAGCTGAGATCACACCACACTACACCCAAATCTGGGCAAAAGAGTAAGACTCCGTCTCAAAAAAAATAGTATCAATAGTAATAATGCCTTTGTCCTATTTGTCAGCAGTCTCTAGAATTAAGTACACACAAACAGAAAGGTTTAACAAAAATTATACCTGAAACTCTAATAGCAAGCTAGCTTTCCTCCCAGTGTCTTTCTAAGGAAAAGAGCAATAGGTAATTCTTCTGCACGAAAAAGCATGGTATTACAATCACAACCAACCAGGCTAATATTAAGCCAAAAGTGATGACGTAGAGGTGTAACCAACCACCTATGACTACAGCACTAGCAGAACCACCTATTCCATCTTCTCTCCAAGAACTAGAAGAGATACACGTAAAGAATAAGTAGTGACATATGAGAAATGAAGACGACTTATTTTTTTGATTATAAAATCTTGAACAATGATTATCCTGGCATAACAGCTCAATTCCCAATTATTGGAAATACTGGAACATAGAAAAAATTGTACTGCTGTTAAGATAGCATTCCATGCTTCTCTGTGTCAATTAAAGCACTGCTTCTGAAATTTTTTGTTCCAGTACCCTAAATCACAGAGGAAACTAAAGAATATTACGGATAGCCCTGCTGAAATTCCTTTGAATTTTTCCATTATACCTTAAATTGATGTGAATTGTTTATTTTATGCCATAATATACCAGGGACTATTAAAGTGATGCATCAGAAAGATATGTCATGTTTATACCCCACATTCATGAATCTTCTACAATACTAATCAATGTTTTCTCCCAGGAAAGGAGAATCTAAACTGAACATTACAGATTTAAGATAACCTAGACAAGTTTTTCCTCAAAACTTGAAAGATTCCAATTATTATATAAATCAAGAGATAATTTTTACTGATGTCCAGAATATTTATCAAAATAAACTCAACTCACGATCTGATGTGTGGGAAATCCTCTTCAATTTTGCTTCCTGTGTTTTTGAAAATTTGTAGTGCAGCTTCTGCTACTTTCTCATCATCCATTTTCAGACAAGCCAGTAATGATTCAAATGTTTCAGCAGAATGAAATGAGATGGGATGTGTAAATGAGAGTACCTATAAAATGAATCATAAAAATGATTTGTAAAACTTTTTCATCTATATAATAAAAATCCAAAATATTACATATTATAAATACTATAAATCAAAGTCAATACAAAAATAATTACGTTAATCAAAATCTGAAAGCACTATAAATAAAATTTAAAATAGAAATGTTCCTGTGTAGGAAGACTGTATGAAATAAAGAAGTCATTTCTAGGCTGGGCACAGTGGCTCACGCCTGTAATCCCAGCACTTTGGGAGGCCGAGGCGGGTGGATCACGAGGTCAAGAGATCGAGACCATCCTGGTCAACACGGTGAAACCCCGTCTCTACTAAAACTACAAAAAAATTAGCTGGGCATGGTGGCGCGTGCCTGTAATCCCAGCTACTCAGGAGGCTGAGGCAGGAGAATTGCCTGAACCCAGGAGGCAGAGGTTGCGGTGAGCCGAGATTGTGCCATTGCACTCCAGCCTGGGTAACAAGAGCGAAACTCCGTCTCAAAAAAAAAAAAAAAGAAGTATTTCTTCTAAAATTAAATTACATGTTAATGTAATTTCAGTCAAAATAATTTGGATTTTGATTATTGTTCAAGTTTTTTGGTGGGGAATGAGAGGAGCAAAAGGGACATGAAGAGAGAATTTAACAAAACATCTTTCATCTTCCCAATAAAGATCATTAGCAGAGACTAATGATCTATGACTAAGAATATTTTTGAGAGTAAAGTAGGGAAATGGGTAAAACACTGACCAGATAGTGAAAAAGTCTATGAAGTTCCAATAACCAAATCACGATGGTACAAACATTAGAATAATCACAAAACAGAAAAAGTAAGGCAGTAATAAGGCAGTAAGTAGACTCTAGAATATATAAAAATTTAGATTATATAAATTGTAATAGATTACAAAAGGTCAACAGAAAACAGTCCTGGGAAAACTGAATAGCTATTGGAAGAAAATCAAATTAGGCCCCCTGCTGCCACAACGCACTTTCAAAATAAATTTCAGATGAGTTGTGTTTAATATTTAAAAAAACAAAAACGCTCTGAACAAAACAGGGTTTTTTTAAGCATAAAACGAAAGGAATCAAATGTGGAATGTAAAAAAAAACAAAAAAAAACAAACAAGCAGCAGAAAAATATAATAAGTATAATGCCATATTTGTACACTTCGAAAATAATCAAAATAAACAACATATTATTTAGAGATATATACATAGATGATACAACTATAAAGATATCAAAATAATAATAAATTCAAAATTCAGGACATGATACCTGGTGAGGGGAGGTGAGTAGGTGAGAAAAAAAAACTACTCAGGGAACTTGATCAGTATTTTTAATATTTACTTTGACACTCAATTTAGTTTTCACCTATATTCACTTGGTTACTATACTTCATAATTTACATATAAAAGAATACTTCTTTATACATATATCAAATATGTCCCAGGAAAAAGCAAAGGAAATAAAAAGCTCATTTAAATCAGTTTAAAAAAAAAAACAAAAGATAGAGAAGTCAGTAGATGGATGAATGAAGGATAAAAATGATGAATTTACCATAGGGAAAACACAAATTGATAAACATTTGGATGGTGGTCCTCCCTAGTATTAAATGTAAAAATTAAAACATTATTTTTGCTTATCAGGTTAGCAAATCTTTTAAAAATGGATTATATTCCATTTTGTGAAGGTTAAGGAGGTGGGTTCCTTCCCACACTACTGATGGGAAAAATTTCTCTTTATAGCAATTTAAATATATATTGCTCCAAGAATTTTGAAGGTGGTCACTCTCGGTAATGCTCTCCTAGTTTTCTAAAAAATAAGACATTACCAAGAGACCTTAAGATAGAAATATTCACCTTAGTGCTGTTTATAAAAATAAAAGTAGAAAAATCAAAATATTCAACAACAGGAAAACATTAGTGATCCAGAGAAAGTAGAGTCCCGGGAGAGTCCCAAAGAAAGGCTTAGTCCACAAGGGTTCTTGACTTTGCCCAGGAAAGAATTCAAGGGCAAACCAGTGATAGGGTAAACGAAAACAGCTTAATTGAAGCAGCAATGTTACAGCTCCAGAGGTGTTACAGCTCTATGACTGCTTCTGCAGAGCAGGGCTACCCCATAGGCAGGGTGCAGAGAGTTGCAGCTCAGGGCAGTTTTACAGTAATATTTATACTTACTTTTAATTATATACAGACTAAGGGCAGTTTATGCAGAAATTCCCAGGAAAAGAGGAGTAGCTTTTGGATCATCAGGTCATTGCCAAGGAAAGGGGCAGTAACTCCCAGGTATTGCCACAGCAATGGTAAACTGACAAGGCACATTGGTGGGCCATCTCTTATAGAAAGCTCTGCCTGTCTGTGTTTTAGCTGGGCTGGGGCTGCCTCCTACCTCAGTAGGATGCCATGATAACCCAAATATGAACTAAACACAATTTCAAAAAATGTTTATTATTTTTACTATGACCTAGACATTAAGAAATTCATGTACATGACTTAATGTCCTCTGTGAGATAAGTACTTAATTATTATCTTCATTTCATATGAAAAAGTGAGGCAAGTAATGTGGTCAACGACACACAGCTACTAAACGCCAGCCAAAAATCAGATCTGCTTTAGACACTCAAAAAAAAAACTCTTGAGAAACACTGAGAAAAATGCTTATACTTTAATAAGGGAAAATAGTTCAGGATACAAAATTGTATATTCAGCTTGATCTCAAGGATCCCAACTATGCATTTGTTGAAGATTAAAAGGAAACAAAAGAAACTAATGTTTATGTGTAATGAATCTATAAATGTTTTTATAATTTTATATATTCCAAGTTGTCAATAATGAACTAATATTTTTACAATCAGTAAAAGACAGAAAATCAAACAACAAAAAAAAAATAGTTTAAGAAACAATTTGGCTCATTCTGCAGTAGAGTTGTACCTTCTTTGCTCACTAATGACACCTTGAATTATACTCCATTATTTTAATATAATTAGGACTAGGCTAGATTATAGCATTTAAACCCCAAAATAATCAGATTACATGTTAGAATAAATATACAATTTCTAAATCATCTAAAACAATTGAGAAAATTTTACTTTAGATTACATAAACTTAAGAAGCAAACATCAAGAACAAATAATATAAACCGTATGTTAAACAGATATCTAATTAGCCACTTAATTTTAAATAGATATTTACCTTAAGCAGTTCAAGACCTGCCCTGATGGCCTGATCAGTTGGAACACCCTCATCTTCATCATCTGCTGTTCCATCTATTGATTTGTTCACTTGCTTAATAAGAGCACTAAAAGGACAAAAAAATAAGTCATTTTTTTCAAACGTTGCTAACAATGTCTAAGAAAAATAATCCTGTTATACATATGTGTAAATACATATATATACATGTCTGAGCCAAATACAAATTTGAGATAGCTGTTTAACACTATTACAAAACAACTATAATATTTTCAGATGGTTCTTTTCAAAAAGTTCTTTTTCCTTGCCCATTCAAATGAGGTCAAATGTTATTCAATTTGCTCTTTATTAATGCTATCAATATCTTTATTATTGTCTTTTCCATGGAAAGTCTGAGCCCAAACACATAAATGATACATTATTTTTAAGTATCTAAAGCTGATTATTAGTCCAGCAAGTAGAACAATATACATTGAAATAAAAAAAGATAAAGGACATTAAGCACTTTCAAACCATTTAACAGCTGTCAGAGTCAGAAACAAACCTAGGCCTCCTCCTAAAAGGTATAAAAATACCTAGGTAACACACATATAATAAAACCTCATTAGAACATTAGAAAAGGAACCATAATAGATCAAAAGGAAACAAGATGTTTTCAAGCTTTCTTCTAATAACAACAAGCTTTATTTTATTTATTTATTTGTTTGTTTGTTTGTTTGATGAAGTCGCTTTGTCGCCCAGGCTGGAGTGCAATGGCATGATCTTGGCTTACTGCAACCTCCGCTTCCTGGGTTCAAACGATTCTCTTGCCTCAGCCTCCCAAGTAGTTGGGATTACAGATGCACACCACCACATCCCGCTGATTTTTCTATTTTTAGTAGAGATGGGGTTTCACCATGTTGGCCAGGCTGGTCTTGAACTCCTGACCTGAAGTTATCTGCCCACCCTGGCCTCCCAAAGTGCTGGGATTACAGGCATGAGCCACTGCGCCCGCCCAACCTTATGTTATTTTAAAATAAACATCTATACCCAGGCACAGAGGCTCACTCCTGTAAACCCAGCCATTTAGGAGACTGAAACAGGAGGATCACATGAGGCCAGGAGTTCAATACCAGTCTGAGCAACATAACAAGACCCTGTCTCTACATAAAATTTAAAAAATTAGTTTGGCACGGTGGTGCATGCCTATTGTCCCAGCTATTTGGGAGGATCACTTGAGCCCAGGAGTTTCAGGTTACATTGAGCTATGATGCACCACTGCACTCCAGCCTGGGTGACAGAGTGAGACCCCATCTGTAAAAAAACATAAATATTTGTAATGCATTGACAATTATCTAAAATAATCATTTATACTGGTGGGTATGTATTTATTCTTTTTATAAAAAACATCACCAGGTTAGAGACAGAATACATAACAAAATACAAGAAAATTCAATTATTCAATGTTCCTTAAAATGTTTAGTAAATATATGTTTCTACAAAATTATTATATATTGAAATTTAAGGTCAAGTTAGGAGTCAAATATATCTGTCCCCATTACAGGATCCCCTTAAATTGATCATCTCTTTAACAGTTGGTATTTCTGAGGGTATTCTGTCTTTTTCTGTTCACTTTCCCTAATCAACTTATTCTCTTATCTCCAACTATCCGAAATACAAATCTTCAATCTGAATTCTCTTTCCATATTTTCAGTAGCCCCAAGATTTTTTAACCTAGACATACTGCAGGAATGAAATCTATCATATTTCCAAAAGTAAAATCATTGTCTTCCATGACTGAGAGTATGAAGCTCTCAGTCCAGTGAAGAAAGTAAAAGTAAACAAACACATTAAAAAGATCATCAGAGAACAAGAGGAACTACTACAAAAAAGGCCACAACAAGAAGTGAAGTTCCTTAGCCAGGGTAACTAGGAAAGGGATTTCTGAGGAAAGACAAATGAACTACTAACAGCCAGTCATATAAAAATTTATGGGAAAGCGCCTACCTGAAAGATCAAAGAAAATCAAGTGAAGTATTGTAAAATAATAAGAACTCGGTGGGGCAAAACAAAACACTCAAAAATCAATAGCACTTTTCTGTATCAGCAAAAGCTACCTAAAAAATAGGAGAAATCTATTCACAATAACAAGTCAAAATATATAAAATAACTGAAAAGTTCTAATGTACAGAATCTGTATGTCATTTGATATGGGACAAGATTCCACAGACGCATACTAAGAATGTATCTCATATGGAAGAATTACTTAGTGCTTGGGAACAGCCAATAAATTTTAGGGGAGGAGGGATGAAAGAACTTCCCCTAATGTATCATAACCTTAGCAGACAAAAGAACCAAAGAGAATCCAGTAAGGACCCAAACCATGTAAGAATTTATGCTATAATAAAGGAATATCTCAAATCAAATGAGAATTAATTTTTAGTAAATGGAGTTGATACAACTATCTATCATGTGCCTTTAAAAAAGACTGGGAAAAGGCTGGGCACAGTGGCTCAGGATTATAATCCCAGCACTTTGGAAGGCCAAGGAAAGCAGATCAGTTGAGGTCAGGAGTTCAAGACAAGCCTGGGCAACATGGCGAAACCCTATTTCTACTAAAAATAGAAAAATAAACTAGGTATGCTGGCACATGCCTGTAATCCCAGTTACTTGTCAGGCTGAGGTGGGAGAATCACTTGATCCCAGGAGGCAGAGGCTACAGTGAGCTAAAATCAAGCCACTGCACTCCAACCTGGGCAACAGAGTGATACCTACTCAGAAAAGACTAGGTCTCTGTGTCCACCTTACACTAAATTCCAGGCTAATTATAGATTTAAATGTAAAAAAACAGAGCTATTAATATGATATCAAAGACTGAAACCACAAAGGAAATGACTGGCATTTAATCATACAATTTAATATTTATTAATTGCGAACAGACTTAAAAGGTGATTCAACTGAGTGAAAAGCCTTATTTTATAAAGAAATCTTATTAGTCCCTATGGAAAAATAAAAGGCATTCCCCAAAGGGATAAAATTAGCCAACACATAAATGAAGAAAAAAAAAAAGTTCAATCTTATTAATAAATGCTCAACTTTTCTATCTGAAACACACAAAAAAATGTTTAAAGGATACATCATTCATTCACCCATAAAATGACAAAGAATAAGATTAACAGCCACTGTTGGGAACGGTGAGGTGAAATGGACATTCACTGATTATTAGAGGGGACTAAAAGTAGAATCTTTCTGTACAGTGTGGTGGTTAACCAGGTAGGTTCTAAAGACAGACTTCCTAGGTTTAAATACCGTTCTCCACACTCCAGCAGAGGGAAAGTTACCTACCCTATGTGCAATTTACTGCTCCTTACCTGTAAAATGGAAATAATAATAGTTCCTATCTCATGAAGTTAAGAAAGTAGTTAAAACATAAATTCTTAGAATCACACCAGGTACATTATAAAGCACTAACTGCTACCTGTCCTTATTATGTTTTGACATATCTTGTAAATCACTATGACATCCTGATTCCTAAAGCCAGGATCTATTCTTGGTTTTCATTCTCTCTGTCCACAGTATACCTTACTTGTGAAAAACTCCTCCATCTTAACTCAAAACATTACAATAACCTGGTCTTCTTACATTTCTATAATTGCTCTGCTGTAAAAAAATTTCCAAAGTTCTGTCCATGATCTTTTTACTTCTATACAATCTGAGCAAATTAATCCATTCTCACAGTTTCACATCAAACTTGACATGCAAAAAA